TCCTTGAACCTCAGTAACTAAATGGCTCTCCATCAGCATAAAAATGCCTAAGTGTCTAATTCACCAAACCCCTCCTTACATGTCCTTTAAAGATGTAATTGCATACATCCAATTGCTAATAGTAATTGCATAGTAACACGGGAACTGAGAATCACACCTTTGTATTTAGAATTCAAGGTCTGATCTCACTTTTCCCAACAAGCAACAAAATCCTTGATTCTATGGGTCAGAAATTACTGTCCTTGCCACTAATAAGGGACAGTGTAGAGAATTTCTCTATTTGTAGAGAAATGCTTGCAAACAAGTGACCAGTGAAAACTTTTCTGCAGAATTCTATCACATCTTACAACAACTTAAACTTGTACAATCTGACATCTCTTCGCACACTGAAGGACATGTAACTTCACTGAAGTGACTTCCTCATACTCTCTTATCCTGATCTTGTGCAAGGAAAAAGCACAACTCGATACATAAACCAGTGTTAAATCTACAGTATATGCACTTATCAGCACTGCTCACTTTTGCCCATTTCTTTGGACTTGGCTTCAGATGCAAGGGAGGCAAAACTTGGTGATAGTTTATAAATATGCACAAGAATGAAGTTGCTGGTAATAAGGAAGTGGTGCCTAGTGATTCCTCTGGAATATTTTAATAAACCCAACCTTTGTAAATGGAAATCCTTTGATTCAGTTCCCTTCGACTTGATCCTTTTCTAGTAACATGCAATGACTCACTAACCAAATAACTAAGTTGCATTTTCCCATGGTTAAAATCTCATGGGGTATTCTTTTGAACAGCAGATAAATATTTTTCCACCTATGGAGATGCTTTTGCATTCAATGTACAAAAGGAACAAATCTGACATGTTAATACTTATTTAACTACTCATAAAAATGGGCCTCCGTATAGATACACACACAATTCTTTACGAAAAACCTGAACAACAACTCCACAGGATAATCTAGCTAATTGTTTACCAACATAAAAAATTTTAATCCTATCATTCCAACATTTCTTTTCAAATTTCTCGAATGTTGCAGCAGACACAACTGGTCTCTCTCTCCAGTTACACTTTCACGCAGAACAAAACAGAATTTCTAAGACCTCCATTTTGCAAAGCATTGCTGTGTCTTTTGAGAGACTGACTAGATGTCAGGAGAACTACAATGAGGAGAGATGTTATTACCAGATGAGATTGGTGGCATTTCTGGTATGCCAGATGTTGTGAATCTTGAAGGAAGAGTCTTCCTTTCACCTAAATCTGAAAAGATAATCTTGTGTTAAAAGGCTTAAAATTGCCTCAAGAGCTACTTGGATAGCACAGGACTCAGCAGACAAATGTTACTTTGTTAAAATGGAAGCACAGGGAAAATTGTGTGCAAATCAGCTAACATTACTCTGTGTCATGGACTGGTGGGCTGGTGTAGAAGTTGATGCGGAAACCAGGTGACCTAATTATTCATACTAATGAGAAGTCTTGTTACTGCTTAATAATCTTAGCACATTATGAATGGCAGGTAGTAAGAAAACACCTTTTGATCCAGAAAACAGTCAGTGGGCCTGCCAATATAAACATGAACGGTATTGGTGTGCCAAGAACCAGTAGATTATTCAGCACAGAATTTAACAGACTATGGCTGCATTGGTCAAAGAAGACTTGGGAAATAAACTGCTTTCCTTCCCCCTTCACCTCCTTCTACCCCTTCTCCATTGCCCTCACCTCTTAACTTCTTCATGCTCAAGAAATGCTTAAAAAGCTTAAGCATCCTCACATACCAAAGACTACAGGAAAAACAACCTATCTCCAAAGCTATAACTCATTCTTCATTTATGTCAAACTAAACAAACTATTTAATGAGAGGCACTATGTCTCCTCTAAAAATTCCTAGCTGTCAGGAGGATTAACCTTATGAGAAACCATTACTGGATCTGGTTGGTTGCACTTCTATGGTACCAGATGGTTTGGATCTCGAAGAAACAGGCTGTTTTTCCTCAAAAGCTGAAAAAAGAACCTGAGCTTAAAATGCTGAGAGACCTGTGACTTGATGGATTAGCTCTGAATAGCTTAATGAAGGCTGTGCAATTCCAGATGATGCTAAAGCAAAGCAAGATGGTAGACAGTCTAAAATGAGACATGAGACAACTGCCATGACAACAGGGGATGATGGTTGGCAATACAGTTTTCTGGCCTGAAATGCAAGTTCCACATGCCTAAAAGGACTCTCACCAGCAAGGAATTCTATCATATTAAATTTTCTAGGTAAGAGCTGCAGCTCTACAGAAAGAAATAAGGTATAGACAAGATATGACAACACTTTCTTTAAGCCATTAACAAATAAGATTTTCAACTGGTTACACAGACACAAGAATGGTGAAGAAGCAGCTCTCTGTGAGTGTTGGTAGCCAAGGTTCTAAAGCAGATCTTAAGATTACCATTTGCAGACCTACGTGATGCTAAGATAATGGGAAAAAAAGTCATAAAACTAATCTGCTAATTACCCATTTCCATCTCTCTGGCTTCTGCAGAAGGTAGAGTTAGGGGTTTCAAGGCTGGACTCTGAGTAGCTAAGAGCAAACATGAAAAAAATTTTATCATTCCAAGACAGACACTCCCCTTGCAAGTGATACTAAATCTAATTTCACCCACTGTAACTAGAAAGTTTTTGTTTGGTTTGAAGGTCTCTTTGTTTTATTAATTTTTACCCCATTCATATTTGGGCATACATTATCTAATCAAACCGAATCCATATTACTTAAGCGGTTCTTATTCACAGCAAGGCAGCTACAACTCAAACACATTACCTTTAATATTCACAGCACTTGCAGGTCTGTACAAACTGGTCACTACTACATTATGTAGAACTTTTTTTAAAGGAGTTGTAATGGGAAAAGATAAGAAAAGAGTAGAACAATGAAGCTAGTGAAATAATCGTGAAACATTGGTAAACAGCACCTTTTATCTGTTATCTTTAATGAAGAGTGTTACAAAGTACTTCTGTTTATTTAACTTTGAAGTATGGATAACCTGAAGTGTGCTTTAATGAAAACAGAGAATCAAGATGGATTTGGGCATTCTTACCTAAAAGCCATTGTGAACAGATTTTCACCACGTGCAGGTTTTGCTCTATTGTCCTGCTTCTAAGAAACAGATCCTATTCAGTGTGTACTGGCCAATAAGTACTATTCTTTCCAGTAAACACATCTGCACCAGTCACTTATGCCCATTTGGGTTATAATGTATTTGAAATTTTCCATCTTTATTTTTAATTGGTGTTTATCAAGTTGAGTTTTTTTGAAAAACAGTCATACCTGAATTTAAAATTTAAACTTCTCTGAATGCTCGAGATTGTAAAAACATTGAAATAAGTAGATGTGTGGTTCATTTCCAATGTAGGCAATATGAATATATGCTAAAAAGTGAACAGACTTTTATTTCATATGTTGGATCTGCTTTCCCATTTATTTTCTATCCATTTTATCACATTAGCAATTATAATTTCAGGTTACTATCCTGTTATATTTGGACTCAGAAGTTGGACCAGATGACCACTGTAGGTTTGCGACTGGAACCATTCTGGTCTATATTTGTAGTTAAGAAAATAATACCAAAAGCCATATGATTCACAGCTTTTGGCAAAAGTTTCCATTGATCCATTCACATCCAGTAAGAACTATGAGAGATTTCTCAAAGGTATCAGAACATTGAAGGCATGTTTACAAAGCTGTCTTTTCAGAAATATTTGAATTCAAAATATGCTGACCACACAGGAAGTTTATAAAACAAAGGAGATATCTCCCTCTAGCACAATCGAGATAGAAAAAATAAAGGAAAAAAAAAGTCTTCAGGGGCACTAGGGCAGAATACAGGTCACAGGCACTTGAACTTCGTAAATTAAATTTTGCTTTCTTTGCTGGTTTTATAACAGCAGGAGATCGAGGGATGCAGAGGCACGGTGCAGAGAAACCTCCTCTGAATAACCACCCCCTCACTCTTACAGAATATCTTTGACTTCAGCATTGACTTCATAGATACTCCAGCTGACCCAGCGGCTGGGCCCAGCCTCACATAACGAACTCCTTCTTTTGCTAAGTGAAACTAATAGAAGATATCAGAACAAAACCAGAATAAATACTTGAATGTAACATGTATTTTGCCTCTGTTGTTATTATTCTACCTTTACCACTGAGATAAACATAAGATTGTGTTATCATTCCCCAGCAGAAAGCAAAAGTACTTCACATCACTTTACAGGATCACCTTTTCAGATTTTCAGCTACGTTTATAGCAAATAGGTTATTAAATCATCGCGTTTCTCTCTTTCCAATGCTGTCTCTAACTGGATTTAACTGAACGTCTTTCACTACAGTAAAAATAAATGTCTACCCCCATCCCCTCAAATATATCTGGAAAGGAGCTGTCAAAAAAATCTATCAAATTAAGAACAAATTGTGAAAATCATATTCTTGTTGTTGAGAATGTGTTTCAAATACGCAGTTCAAGAACTAAGAGATGTTTCTGGAAATTACTTTTAAATTTGGCAGACTACATTATGTAAATGTATGCTATCTAAATAAGCCAGCACTATTCTGTGATAACTTCTTGACTAAGGCTTAGTGAAATAAAAATTTATCTGATTAATTTGATTAAAGGACACTATAGGTAACTAGTGTAATAGCTGTTAATACAGAAAGCAGCAACAAGCAGTTGTTTGGGTAAATTTGGCTATACAAGCCTGTTATGAGAACAGAGGTTTTGAGAAAGGAAGACACAGGTTATGATGTAGAAGAGTAGAGGCATGAGATGATAAGAGATGGGGACTAGGTTTGATACTGGAGGCCCCATGCTGTAAACAGCTCAGCAATGGTCAGTTGTAAAAACTGCACACCTGGAGCTGGACAAAATTAACTTTAGGGATAACAACAAGAACACAGAAATAGTATCTAACATACACAAATGGCTCCCTAAATGGTGAATTTAGATCTAAGATGTCTCTCAGTAGAAGAAAGAAAGAAAGAAAGAAAGAAAGAGAGAAAGAGAGAAAGACAGAAAGAGAGAAAGAGAGAAAGAGAGAAAGAGAGAGAGAAAGAGAGAAAGAAAGAAAGAAAGAAAGAAAAAGAAAAGAAAGAAAAGAAAGAAAGAAAGAAAGACCATTCAAATTTCCATTACACTAAAAATAAATTATTAATGTTATACACATACACATGATATTCATATATTTAAATATATATGTCTATACAAACATATATACATATAAATGTGTGTATATATATAATATACAACATAAAAAAAAGAAAGGAATGGTGTGCTTCCTCTTTGCTCATAAGACTTTGACCACAACATTTTGACCCTAACACAAGTAAAGCTATTTTGAAAACGTGAGTAGCACCATGCTTTCTTAAATATCAGGTCTTGTCCTGAAGTTCATTACCAAACAACCAATGAATCTAATTTATCAATACTTAAACCACAACAACATCCACAAATTATGGCAGTATTTTAATCAAGCATACAAGTATTTGGCAAAATACATGAAAACCCACAGAACTGATGTTGGCTGGAACAACATTCCAACTTTAAATATAGTCACTCTCAGAAGCTTATAGGGCTCTTCCAAGAAAATAATGAAACTAAGTGTAAGTTACACAGTTTTACATAAGTTTTATCCTATAGATATAAGTTAGCCCATATATCCTCATGAGCTTCTGTTTGTTTGTCTTAAATGAAGCATTAATCTGTCATAGCAACAAAGCAAAACCAGGCTTAGAATGAAAGAAGGAATTTGTAAGTTTTGTGACGATAATTTTTCACTAATGTTTAGTCACATCTACAAAGAAAGTAATTACCACGTTCTGTCAATGAAGTTTTTGGAGCATCGGAGATTCTGGATCCAGAAGGAAGTAGCTGTATGTCATTAGAAGCTATGATAAAAGAAATAACCAAAATTTTATTTGATTAAGAATGCTACAAGACACAGCACGGATCTATATTTGGCTTATAAATCACCCACTCCTGAAAACAATGCCATTCAGTAAAAAAGAAGAAGTAGTTCCAACCTAGGAAAAAACCCACATGGATTTGTCACGTGAAAAGGTATGTGGAATATGAAAGATACTACTTTTTCCCTACTTGTAATACAAAGATCCATCAATCACAGAAATTTGATAATGAACCTGCATCAGTAATTGTGACCACCTAGTTTGAAATTAATCAATGATTCATCTTGATTAAGTTTCATATTTTCATCTTTAAAAGCGTGGCAAAATCAAGGAAGGTTGAGTATGGTTAAGAAAAGCTGCATAAAAGTTAAAATGAAAATTAGATTGATGGTTTAGCTTCAGTAAATTCTGGAAATCTCCTTGCAACTGTAAATGAAAAAAGACAAAATTGAGAGTAGGACATGAATCAATAAGATTACATAAAAATACATTTATTGAGAAGCATTAGCTGTCCTCTTCATGGGAAGATCTGTATTTCAGTCCTGCAAGTATTCCTGATCCTTCCCTTTATAATACATCTTCCTGTATGGAGGCCACCTGTACTTTAGAAAAATCTAACCAAAGTTAAAAAAGATAAATGCAATCTCAAGTTTAGATTTGTCTTCACAATTTTACATGGCTTGGATTTAAAAGTACAAACAATAAAATCAACATTAGAGAATTTAGAATTCTGAATGCCAGAAGTAAATATATACTGCTCCAAATCACAAAACTAACAGTACAACATTGAGACAAAAAATGAAAAAATCAGTAGAGTTTTTGTCTCCTTGAAGGCAAATACAATTATATCACATGTAATATAAAATTGTCCTTATGTATGTTGATGTTACCTAACACTGTTGATGTTACCTAAATGAACATGTCACCAGAAGAAAATCGGGGAGGTAGTTATTTCAGTTCTATCACTGAGGATAATTTTACAGATGGAAGTTTTATGTTATGTCAACCATGCAGATCACATAGAGAGAAGGCATTAATTTGAAAAATAAAATTGAATCACCCAGTAAAATCTGCAAAAGACACAGTTCAACCAGAGTTAGACGTATCCTGCTTATATTTCATTCCAGTGTGAATCACTGGAAACACAAAAGGAACCAGATTTTTTTAATTAGTACTTCCTTTGGAGCCAATAGAAAGGGGATGCAGCAAGTAGTAGAAAAATTCTGCTGGAGGTGAAAAAAGCATCTAATGAACAAAGAAGGTAAAAAGCAGCAAAATTAGTTACCCGGTATGTTTTGAGTTTGCACCAATTTGGGTTTAGGCGTTGATTTAAATTCCTCAGGTCCATGTCTTTTCTCAGCCTGAGCTAGAAGAAAGAAGCTTCATTTAATTTAGAATCTCTCTACCCTTTTCTTTATTTATTGCCCAAAGCCCGCTGCTTTCCTTGTACCATTTTATGTCCCCTGATTAAAGTAATTTCTATGGTTGCTTGATTCCATCATGATTAATATTTACTTTTGTTTTCAGTTGTGTCTGTATGATTTTTTGGATTTATTTTGTTACAGTTTTATATAAACAAAGGAAAATGTGAATCACAAAGATTTCCCCTGTTATTCTGATGTTTTGTTAATCCTCCTAATATAAAAATTATCAGGAAAAGAATAAATATTCACCTATAATACCTCGTCTCTTTCATTTTTCTATTAGTAATATAATGGGTTTTGATTTCCATTCATTCTTCTAATTCTACATCTTCAGAATAAAGCATGGGTAGTTTATTAAACAGCCATTAAATGTACCTAAACTGAACCATTGGTCACGTTTTAATATAGTAGTGCATAACTGTACTCGTCCAGAGTTTCACATAACAATTGATTCCAATGGTAAGTAAGTCAAGATCACTTTCATCTTGCTCAAGATCCCATGGACATTTAGTCAGTGCTACAGTACACACAACTGGTCATCTCAGGTCACAAATGACAAAGCTTATGGATATGGAACACAGAACGGCAAGGTCTCAGCCTTGAATGTGACAAGAGCATTATTTCCTTCCACAGAGCAAACTGCACAGTAGTTAGTACATGTTGGTAATTAGAAGAGATCATTAATATCAGTAATCAGCATCAACATAGCATTGGTTTTAGTATCCATTCAGTTTAATAAAAGATCACTTTCTTTTGAGACACAATAGAAGACAGTTACTTTTGTTTTTCCAGCATGGTCTCCATGCTTTTTCCATAATCTACTGAATTCCCAAATTCAATTTGGGATCATAATCCGTAATCCATTATCCATAATCAACTAATATTCCAAGAAGAACTGATCATGTAGATTTGTAAGCTTCTTATTTCATTTCCTGAAAAAACATGCTGTTTTCTGTGTTCTAAATACGGCCACAATAATAATACTATTTTCTGGTTTGGAGTATGGTACTTTTCAGTGCCACAAAATCTGAAATCTTTACAGATGCTGCCTATTAGGACCCAATTCTGCTTCTAAATCAGTTACAGTGCTGTTACTGTCATCAGTGAAAGAAGGATTTCATTCTACAGAGAAGTTAAAACAATTTATCTCTATGAAACCTGTGGGAGAAAATTCACCCATAAGAGACACTGAAGCAACAATTAACAAACCCATACTTCAGAAGTACTACAGAAGTTAACATTTCTCATTGGTGAGATGTAATCATGAAAAAAGCCAAAAAAATTCCACACCGAAAGCAAATACAGAACTTATGATGCTTTGGATTTATTTTTAGAGGTCAGATGGTTTGCGCTCATATGAAGCATGTCTTGTCAGCTAAATTATCTGAACAAGCTGAATAAGATAGAGCATGCCTAGAACTGAGACAAAAGAAACAAAGTTCTCCTCAGTTTTGCACAGAACATTGTAGCCATGACATGAAAGAAGAGCAGACTTTTTTGTGGAAAAAGATACAGGAAGTAGAGAACTTAGGTTCTGAGAGCTCAGTTAGAGAAAAGAAAAATGCCTCTGACTTTTCCAGGGCACCAGGTAAACGAGGCTTACTGTACTGGTTCAAGTGTATCTACAAAGTAAAGTGTTAACACAACCAAGAAAGGTAAGTTACCTTACTATGACAGCATAGAGTACAGCAAGAATGCACTTCAACAATGTTTCTTAAACTATATTTCCTCTAACTTCTCTTAACCCTCTCTTACTCCACAACAGTAATTAAGATATTCTGATGAAAGTAATACTCTCACTCCTGATATAGCACATGAACACAAGGGGAAGTCTTCAGGGGCTGGAAGAAGGGGCCAGAAGGAGCACAGGAGGAACAGAACTTGGGAAACATGACAACAAAGGAGTTATCTCAACTAAACCTCACAGGTGGTACTTTTTATTTCTAACCCGTTCCCTATTTCACAAATCGAATTTGCTAAATTTCTAGTAGAATCCCTTACATAAAGAAATAACTAGTTTTGTTTTTTTTAAAACTAGTTCTTCCATGTCCCTGGCAAATGTGCTCATAATTCTGAGTGTTGGTAGGCTCCAATTTCCCCATGAATTTAATAAAAAGGCTCACACTCCATTAAATGGGAAGAAAAAATGTTGCAGTGGTTTGAGATATATTAGACAACATTTCAAAGGCTGAAGAAAAAAAAAAAAAGCACTATGAATTTGTGCTGCTGTGTTAAGAATACATTAATCCTGAGTGGAAAATATCATAACAAGCCTGGCAAAAACAAGAAATGAAAGAGCTTACTAACAGTCTTTCCATGGAAGTGCATGCCAAGGGAGGGGAGGCTTGAAATTAAGAAAATGATGGGAAGCCTGGTTGACAAATACATTAAAAAAAAATCACTAAACTGTATCACATGACAAAACACACCCTTTGATAAAGACACAGTGCAAGGCAAGAACAGCCTTCAGACATCCTGCTTGCTGAAATACTTCAAGTTCCATTTTTTCCTTCCAGCATAGCTGATGACACAACAGCTGCTACAGCACAGAGCTCCTTTCAAATCGATGTTCTATTGCCACTTCTGGTACCAGTCCTTAAACCTTCCACAGCAAACAGTTACTATACCTTACTTAAAGAATCCAGTATGATTTTCAAACAGTGATATCTGAATGAAATATAATTAAGTAGATCCTATTGCTAAACTCAATTAATTATGCTTATATATTAGACCGTCTCTCAAACGCAACCTTTGTAACAGGCTGGGGCTCAGATCTCTTGCTTAAGTTACTCATGAAAGCCTGGTTCAAATGCTTAAGTATTCAAGTTATTTTTCCATATGCCACAGTAAGACAGAATTATACTCAAAGAATGTCTTTCTTTTAGTGGATTCACTTTCATTTCCCCCTTTCCTGACTTTTTTTTTTTCTCTTTAACTGAAATACTGTAATTGTAATTAATACATTCTTTAATGTAAGCAGTGTGACACACTCTTATTTTAATATGAAGCACTGGTGCTGAGAAAACAAATTATGACTGAAAGGAATGGTCATGGGAAAAAAGGACATGGAAACAAAATGACAAAGGAAGCATGAAATGGAAGATGAAAATTATTCTAAAAATTTTAGTAAATAACTTAGTGTGACAACAATAAAAATGTGTTTAATTGTAATAAATGGATACTAAATTCTTACAAAAAATAGATAGTACTTGCCAATAATTACCGTGTATAATACGACACATCATCCAACTTCATAAACATACAATTCTATGTTAAGTCTTGAGATGACAATGTTTATGGTTAGAATTACTACATAAACATAATTACAGAACACAAAGGAAAGGAAATAGAATGAACCAATTCTCTCCTTCCCAGGTGCCACATTTCATTAAAGTCAGTATGTCAAGGTGTATCACAAGAAAACTCTTTTTGTCATTTTTCACAATTTCAAGATATCCAGCACCCCACAATTTTAATTCTAAGGGGTTTTATAAACCTGATGATTGTATCATCTGAAACTTTCCTCCAAATTTAGATTCAGATTTTTGTCCGATTCAATAACTCAGTGTTATCAATTCAGCTACACTATCCTCCTGTTTTCCAACTACTGACTTTAACTGCAGATTGAGAAACACAAAGATGGATTTAATTGTAGTTTATATATTTGGCAAATATATTACACAGAGTTTCTAAAAGTAGAATTTTCATTACCTGGAAGGGACTGTGGGGAGATTTCTTGAACTTCTGGTGTTTTGGATTCAGCAGGCCATACTCCAGTTTCATTCTGAGCTAAAAGGACAAAAACATTAGAGAGTAATTGCAGACATGTATCTACTCTCTTCTACCACAGATCTATTTCTGTCCTACTTCAGTCTGACAAGGTAAGCTACCATGGATAAATGTGGAAAGCTGAATACCTTTAGGAACCAATGAACTTCCACTGCACAATCAGTACAAGCATCTATCTAGTTATACTAAGCACATGCATTTTTGGTTTTTCTTTGTTCATTAAAAAATACTCTAAATACAAAATTTACAGAAAGGATTTAATACCTTATGAATCTTTACTTTCACATGCAAAATGGTATCCAGTGTTTTTCATTTTTCTAGCATTTGAGCTAGACAGCAAAAATGTTTTTCAAAATTAAAAGATGCAATATAGTTCTAAGTGCTATACAAGAACAGTCTAATAAAATTTCAAATGCAATGGAATTGTCATACTAGCCATGTCCTTATTTTCCTTGATATTACTTCTAACAATTACAGTGGTATGACAGTAGCCTTCTATTCCAACAGACATAAAGATATTTCAGTAGTGGATACAGGCAAAATTAATTAATTGAATTAATTAATTTTTATTTCAATTAAAAATTTGGGTTTTTTTTTTTCCTGGACTACTAATATTAAAACAAACAAAAACCCAAACAATCCAAAACCTCCAAACTGTAAGGATTTTGAATAACTTAAAAGAAAGAAAAAGTACTTTGAGAATTCTTTTTTTTTTTAATTTTGTGATGCAATATTTTGATTTTTCTAAATAATACAGAATTAAAACAGTTTCAGTAAGTCAGCAAATCAGAATTAGTTACGACTTCACACACAGCATAAGCTTTACAGCTTTTTATTTTAGACATACACCATTCTCAGGCGCCACTGAAAGATACCTGTATAGATTTAGACAACATACAACACAACTTTTTGTCAATTACTTGATATATTTATATTATTTCTCAGAGTATTTTTGCTTGGCTTTTTACAATGACTCTTCTCTGGTCCTTTGAAATTCAGGTGTCCCTTGTGTGAATATCCACGCACTTCATGTTCTTTGGTAAGCAGAACATAACAAAGCATCACTTGTCTGCCCTGGTTATTTTCTCAAAGATGTTTGTGTAACCTGCTATAAAGAGTGGCTTCAAACTGGCATCACACCAGCCAGAAATTTTAGACATAGAGTGCTCAGATTTAGAAGTCCGAGTTCTACACTCAGCCAGATGAGCAAGTTGGACATTTCTAGGACAAGTGAACCTACCTCCATCTTTTTCCTCATCTTTTGCTCATAGTCACATTCTGCAATTTTTACTGTGAAAACTACTGAACCTTATGACCTATCCATAAAAAAAGTATCATTTTCCCTCAGAAAGATATAATTTTACTGGTAGAAAATGAAAACAAATGTAAAAGTTCTAGATACTGCAGTTTAAAACTGATACCAGAGGTCTTAAAACATGGTTTTCTAAAAGCAAGAGTTATGAAAAATGGATTTGTCAAAATATGTTCTATTGAGTTTGTTACTTGTACGTTATATACATGTTAACGCTAAGGTAGTAATGATAAAGAGCTTGTTTTCAACGCTTGATATTAAAAGAAAATATTGGTAATCAAGTTAATGTGTGATTAATGTTATTATCATGATTAAAAACTCTTAATGCTCTGTAATATAAATACTGCAGTTATGTTTCTACACTTAGCTTGAATTTTCAGTAGCCACAGATGATGCGAAAAATATTTGTGTGTCAAATGCTGGTAATACTAATTTTTAAGGAATTCAACCTCAATATAAACATAATCTTACTCAAACACATTAAAATATTATTCTAGTGGGTAGCTCTACCCTTGCATGTATCAATATCTTAACAGAAACAAGCTGTGCTGTTTCCCCCCTACAAAGCAAGCCATGCTGAGAATGTGCCATGGCCTGCAATGGAATGACAGAGTAAATGAAACAAAGCAGAAATAAGAAAAAAAAAAAGCCACCTGATCCAGCTGTTTGAAGTTTAAATTAAGTATTAAGACTAGTCAAGCCAAAAGCCATCAGCTCCAGAACTCTGCTCAAGGGATCTGTGAAAGATGTACTTGGGGATTATCAAGGTTTTTAAATATAGCTTTATTTTCCACAATTATGCTATTCAAGGATGATAATGCTAAATGAAAACCTCAGTTAATGTTTTTCCTCTGGGTTTCAAGTGTGTTCACAAGACACTCATGAAACCTGTACTGAAGAGTTCTAATTTCTGGCTGCCATTTTTAATGGATTTCATTACAGAAATAAGAATTTCTTCCTGAAATACCTTTAAAAACCTGTCCACCTGTTTTAAATTAAGTGAATTTCTATGAATCCTTATAAGTCCAAGCTAATTATTAAATATAAAATAGAAAAAAAAAAGTTGAAGAGGAATAAAGGACTTTTCTGCTTGCACACATCATCTCACATCACTACACTTCTGATACTGTTCACAAAAAATAGAAGTTTAGTTCATTTCTGCTTACCCAGTTTTTTCCTGGATGCTGGAGATAAGCCATCTATTGTAAGGAGAGGAGGAAGTTTCTGCTGACTTTCATTGAGGCCTGGAACAATAAGGTGCACTACAGAGAAAGATGTGTGCCATTAATTCCAAAAGAGATGAAAATACAGAGTCTGCCCTCCAAGATATGTGAGAAACTACTACTAAGCCACTGGGAGTTTAATCTGTGTATCTGGGAAATGAGTTGGTTCTATTCTGTAATTATCACTCCCATTTGATGCTATTTCCCCTTTATACCACTCACTGTACTATCACTATTTCATGATTAATCAGAGTTAAAAACATCTCAATACTGGAACATACAACCCTGGAGTACATAGCTTCACAAATGCTGGGACATTCTGTCTTGTGTGCCAAGAAGACTCAACACCAAACTGCATTAGTAAGTATATGTTTGATTCTCATCAATATATTAAAACACAAAGCAAACTTAAGGCAAAGTTATGCAGTTATAGAAAATATTTCCATATATAAAGGACTAAACACCCTCCTGAATCCATGAATAAATTGGTCCCGAGGTGCAGGATGCAGTGAACCTTTCATGTCTACTTCAGGCAGACCAGTAGTTCATCACACTGAACGCTATATGATAGACTTTCCCCTGTTTTCATGTTCTAGGCCGATATTGTGTATTCTCATAGGTCAAACAAGAACATAAAACATGAAACTGAATAGCTTGGAGGGTTATGCCCTAGATCTAACATCAAGTTCTAATTGCAAGTTCCCTGTAGTCTAACGTATCAGCACAGGTTTGTGTCTCTAGATGGTATGTTATCATGCTACCTTAAAAGACCAGTAAGAACAATCCCTCATCTCAACAAGATCTTTGCCTCAGAACTTCACTTGAAGTATAAAAGAACTTGGTTTAAACAATGACACTATTTTCTTTTAAATACAATGGCAATGAAATTATTCTATTTCACTTAAGCTACAACACTCTTGAACCATCTGTACCAGCATAAAATGTAACAAATGCTGTCTGAACCAGCTGCAAAACACCCTTTAGTATGCAAGGAAAGAACTATCAAGGTCAAGAAAATTAAAAGCATTTCAACCAAGTTTTAATTTTCAACCAAGGGTTAACAAAAATGATAAGAATTCTTATAGTCACCTAATATTGCTCCTGGGAGAGAAGAACTGTCTGGTGTTTTTGGCTGCGTCCGATTTTGAATAACTGTGGAGACAACACAGGCGTGTGAAGCTAATTTTAAAAACTCAAAACGAGAAACAAAACCACACCGGAAACAAGCCTCAGCATTCTTAAAACCTTCCCTCAACTTAATATTTGCAGATGAGGACACTATTTCTGTATTCACATTCAGTTTAAGAGACTGCAAACTACGTTTCCTCTACATTGTCTCTTAACTGTGCATCTCTTTCCTGTGACATATCAATTTTGGTGAAAAATGATATTCTATGCTTATGTTATTATAGAGCCAGCTGCAGACCATCTCATTACCCTGACATTCATTTTCATCTCAAGTTACTCTTGCAGAGTATAAGAATAAATTAAAGAAAATATACAAACTTACCTTGTTTGATTATTGTGACTGGGACCAACTTCTTATTATCACTCAGTATAAGCTGAGAAAAGAGAAAAAAAAGAGAAAAAAAAGCCTTGGGATGACTGCCATGACAGTAATTGAACTTTCTGAGTAATAAAAACAGAGGGCTCTAATCCAATACCGCGCCTGTCCCAAGTTAACACTGGATATGGCTCTGGCCCTAGTCAGTGATGGTTACACTATCACTTCAGTTCCCACAGGCTAGTGTGGTAATATTGCATTTTGATCTCCTTCTTGCAACTTGAGATATTTTGCTTCATAAAAACACAATATTCGACAGCTTAGGAATCTCCAATCCTTTTTTCTCTTAGGAATCTCTTGAGCACTCACTGGAGAGTAGTCCAGAAAGCTAAGAAAAGCTGAAATTTAACTACAGCAAAACATCTGAAACAGATGCAATTACAAATTTGGTCGCAAGATATAAATATATTCCTAAGAATACTCTATTTAGAACAAAAACTATTCCAGAATCAGGTGTACATTTGTAAACTATCAGCACTCTTGGGTGCATAGCCTGCTTAAAGTAGATTAACTCAGAGTAATTTCATTTGGTGAAATTATTTCCAAAGTATATGTGGTCAGTCACCCCTGTGCTTCTTACATTTTTTCTTGCTAAATATTTGGACTAGTCTGCTGTTCACTTCTCTTTGACCCAGATTACTTCCTACCTAAGTGTGAATGCTTTCAATTATATTGATAGCACAAAAGGAACATGTGAATATACCCACATTTATTAAAGGAAAGGAAACAGCCGATATCAAAATTATAAATTAGTATTTGTAACCCTACATAAGTACTAGGAACAACTTCTGAAAGCTTAATAATATGATCAAGAGATGAGATGAGGTAAACTCTAATGCCAACAATATAAAAATGCTAAATACTTTAAAAGGAAATTTTTTCAGTTATATCTGAGTTACAAGAAAGAAAATGACTGAAACAATCACCTTTCCATGCTAAATGTATACCGCTAAAGTCAGAATCAGATAATGTTCCTATTGCACTTTATGATATCTGGTCTACTTCATATGAAAGAACACATTCATAAAAATTCAGCACTCAATGACAAAATGTTAATTATTTACCTAAGAATAACTATTTTTGTTCTGTTCTAAATAATTCTGAAAAGCTTTAAAAACAACTGTTGAGTACACATTAAACACATACCAAAGTCTAAGAAGCTGGAAGAAGGCCAATCTCCACAAGTAAGATGAACCATTCCTTAGGGAAATGGATGGAGGCTACTTATTCTGTGAAAACCATTACTTTCTGCTACCTAATGCCAGTTTTGCATTGGCATGAACACAATCTTAAATTAAGTAGAGGTTTCAATCATTGTCATTAACGAAGGATGGAAGAGACTCTTCCTTTTTTATTGCTTATGTTTTTCCTTTTTTAACAATTTCTACATTTCTATTTTGTTTTCTAGTAAAAAAATTGTATTGCAGATGAGCACCTTCTGAAATAGCCCTACTCTTCACATGACTAGCAAATGGGATGAAATGTATTTATCATAAAAAGGTGTTAATTTTATTGTATTTCTCATCAGAAACCTTAGAATCAAATAAACAGTTCTGAAAGTAGTGAGAACTTGTGTAATGCACTGCAGAACTTCTAATCATAATTATAACCACTAAAAGATTCTTGTATTGAGAAGAGCATTCTTTCTTTTTTGAATAATAATGGATCGCTATAATGACAGCAGTATAAAAATGCCAAAGACATTTAAATACATTCAAAATTTAGTTTTTCACTCAGGAACAAATCCTTGACATGAAATCCTTATTCCCCACCTGTTGTAGTTACACAGCTCACCTGCATGAAGCTGTAAGTGCTGCACTTGAAAGCTACCACCATGTTGTCAAAGCTTTCTTCTCAGTCTTCAAAAAGTGAGTACTTTAGATATTTCTGTGTCCAGTAAAATTTATTACTTAGACAAACTATTTTGGAAACATCAGCCCATCATCTGTAGGAATGGCACTATCAATTGTATTTTTCAGGCAGGGAATATAAAGCATATCAGTATTAGGAACACTAGTTACTAAAATGATTGTTGCCACCATAAAAGAAGATGGCAAATAAGATATTCCTAAGGTATTTCTGAGGAAAATTAGAGATGTAAATTATACCACAAGTCAGATATCTTAACTTCTGACCATATACAAAAGGCGTATTGCATCAAGGACTGCAAGTCTCAAACATTGTTTGAAGAGACACTTGTTCTTTCTTTCTCTGTTACATTCCAGTACTTCAAAAAGCCATAGCTAACTGGCATACACATAAGAGACTCCTCAAGGAAGGATCATGGTCAACAAGGATTGAATAAGTTTTGGAAGAGTGAGAATGTTTTCTTCTGCAATTTAACAAATGGTAGAAGCTGAGAGTCCTTTTTGGCTGGAAAAATTGAGGAGGACGCCACCTTTCAGACTGATATTATGGAACTACAGGAACCTAACCCGACAGAGGAGGAAATAAATTTTTACTGCGTTCTCTCTGCCCTACCATCACCCACTGTTTATGAAGGGAAGAAGAATGACCACCTCTAGAACTCTCCTTTTCTTCTGCTCTCTCATTAGTTGTAGCTCACACAGCCCCAGGAGCTTGGACAAACTTAAAGAATGAAACTGCCAAAAGAAACACAAGCTGATGTGTGACCAATGTTGAAAGGGCAGAATGACTAGATAGATCAGTAATGTTACTTTAACAAACAGCCTTTAAAAATGTCCTCACAGAGAAGAGTTAGGACCATGCTGGTATGAGTCAGTTGTGTCTTTGGAGCAAAATAAGGCACAAAAAAAGCTTGGCCTAAATGACACTCATTCTGGCTTTTCACCACTGAAACATACCCCACCTAATTCTGTGGAAACTGAGGTAATAAAGCACATTGAAGAGCAGGCCACTCTCTGCTTCCCAGCCTTAGTTTTATGGCTTTTTCCACCACTACAGAGAGAATGATAGAAGACTTTTCAGAATAATCTGTGGAATGTTTTCATGATATTCCTGTGGAGGGTGATAAAGCAGTTCTGCTCTGGAGCTAAGCCCCGTGAAACTGACTAAAAAGACTGGATGTTGGCTCTAGTCCTCCCTTCTTGCTTAAGCTGTGCAAATATTTGGAAAACTGTTTCAGCTCACTTTCTCAGGACTTCTGCATAAATAGAATCGCTACTTCCACAGAAGCAGCATAACAGTCAGGGTCCTGGCACATAGGGTTTCCTAAGAGGAGCAAAGGAACTCAGCTTGCACTCCATATGCCAGATTCAATTACCTGGTCTTGGGCTGTCCTGTGTAACTTTAAAGACCCTTATGGGATTGATTGGAAGAACAGTAAAGCTGACTTCCATTGACATAATGAAATGTCACCTTTCTGAATATCTAACCATCGGCATCTATATTACTCATTTTCCTTTTGAATGTAAGACATGACTATATTTCCAATAACCTAAGAATTATAATGCTCTAACTCTCTATATAATGCAGTAATTAACGTATTACTGTCCTAAATGAATGTAAATGGCCCAAGTTGCATCAGGGAGGTTTAGATTAGACATTAGGGAAATTCTTTTTCACAGAAAGGGGTGTCAAGCATTAGATCAGACTACATGGGGAAGTGGTGGAGTCACCATCACTAGAAGTGTTCAAAAAATGTGTGGATATGGTACTTTAGGACATGATTTAATAGTAAACGTGGTGGTCGTCCTGGGTAGACAGTTGGACTTGAGTATCTTAAAGGTGTTTTCCAACATTAATGATTCTATGATTCTATTTATCCCTAATTATTCATAGAAGAAACTGTGTAATGAATTGTGGTTTGATTCCTGAAGGAATTCCAGATCTGATAATTACAGATCATTTACAGTATTGTAAAATATGAAGAACAGACAACGAGAAACCATACATTAACATTTCCTACCATGAAAACTCTTGGAAAATCTGAGATAGAAGAGAATTGTGAAGAATGGTTTGTTCCCTTATAATAATTAACACTCATGACTTAATCCTTTAACATATCTGAAGTAAGAAGGGCTTCTACAACTTTTCTTGGGAAGTTATCCCATAGTCTACCTCAGGGATAGTACCTTAAAACAAAACAAAACAACCTCCAGAAGATTAGATGCTGAAACATGCCCTTCGATGAAAAATTAAGAAAAGTAAATATGAAGAAACCATTTAATCTCATAGTAGAAAAGGTAATGCTCAAAAGTCATGAAAAAAATGTTTATTTTTCATTGTATTAAAACAGTCTAATAACAGGTTCAATCTAGAGAGCCTTCATTTCTCCTTCAGCTTTTGGAAGTAAAAAGTATCCATGTATGTGAATCCATGAACATATGAATCCATCAAGCTTGTTGGCTAGCATTTATGTCAAATGTCAGATTTTTTATTTATTTATGTATAAAAATCATCAAATTGTCACATGCAAGGATTTAATGAACTGTCTAGCAATCTTGACAGGCAAATTAAACTGCGCTTTCCAGCTTCCTCTGGTTCTGCAAACACTTGCCTCACACATGGGAACTACCAGTGAATTTAAAAGGATGAATAGAGTTTCAGAAGATCTGAGTAATTACAAGATTATTCCATAAAACCACAGCACCAGATCATCACAAAATTTACTGACCACAACAAATATCACAGGTTAACAAACCTGACTACTACAAAGGGATAAGTAAATTTTAAGTTTAAAATCCACACACAGAAACCATCAGCTTTATCTTTGTTAATTTGGAATAAGTATATCATTATTAATAAATAATCATCTCAGCTACCATTCTTAATCATTTTGTCACACATATAAACACTTCTCCATACAGTTATCAGGTCTTAGATTTAAAAGATTGGTTTTTTATATTGGCAATTTGGGGCCTTGATAATGTATTTCTTAATTTAACAGAGAAGAAAAAATTTTTGATCATACAAATCACAGATCTGGTATAAAAAGTAAGATTGTTTTGCATACCTGTGTTTGGGAATTGGGTACCAACTTGTACATATTCTGGAATTGCCCATTTACTTTTTTATCTGTTTTGACAGAAAGATAAATAAATACACATAATTACTTTTTTTTTGTCCAAAGCAAAATAACCCAAGTTTATTCACCTTTTTCAATAGGTAGGAAAGTTAGGGGGCTTAACTACAAGCTTATATAAAGACACACCGTGGAACAATTTTATTTTGTCCTGTTTCTTCAGATCAATTAATACATCTGCAAAGCCTTCTCTTCGCATTTTGACAGCAAGGAAATCAAATGTATTCTTCTTGTTCTACAAGAGAGCTGAAGTGGTCTTTGAGACTTACTACTCCTTAGTAAGCCAGAGGTGCTTAAGAGGATTCCTTAATAAAATTAATATAACCACAAGACTAATGAACTAACTTGAAAGAGGAATTTCTGCATCCCATCTGTCAGGTTGGTACTAGGACTGACTAAAAGCAGCTTGTTTTAAGGTCTCCAATATCAAGTATGCTTTTAAGTATGCTCTTCTATAAAAAGACACATTTAGCACTGGCAATAGAGAGTAGATATATCACTTTTCTTTGGGTCTGACACGGTTTCGTTTATCTTGACATATGAACAAAGTAACCCACAGATTTAAACTCTGAAAGTTTTCTGTTAGGCTTTTCTTCTTAGTTTCTTAGTATTAAAAGCTTCTTGTGATGCAGTTGTCAAGTGCAGATGAAAAACAGTCCTGGTAAGCACCTCTTCTAATCTAGCATAATGCTTCAAATTTTGTCTATGTCTTCCACATTTACACTTTTCTGCTCCCTCTGTAACAATAGGTGTGCAAACAAGAGTAAAGCTACATATTGTCATATTTGTTCACAATTGCATCCAAAACAGATGAGCATTAGAAAAAAAATTCAACTCTAAAGAAATATCAATTAAGATACATTTAAGTTGGAAAAAATCTTTCAAAGTGCTTGATAGTTTTAAAGAACAGGACCTACTACTGGACTAAAGACAAGGGAAAACTGACAGAAGTTTCACACTGATGTCATGAGAAAATCATGTTAAGATGGTAAAAAATGAGCTACTTTCATCTCTGTTGAAAAATTTTGGTTAAATAAATACTGAATATTTGCCATGTCTTTTATGTCTTCTCAAATCATAAATTAGAACCAGATTCACCTACCAATTCCTCCCAACACTGGGCCTGTGGATTCAACACATACAATAATATGTAAAAGAAGTTTCAGTTTATGGTCATTTATATATTTCTTCAGTGAGGAAAGAAAATTTACAGTGAAGGATGTTTGGTTGAGGTTCTCCTATATGAGAAGACATTCAGTTACTACAAGACAGGAAATTGAAAGAAAAGAAGTGTCCATTTGTGCTGCTTGGTAAACTCCTATGCACACAGTTTTTCAAGGGTTAATTTGACATCCCTTTGCCTACACTGTCTTGGGACTTTAGAGTAAAACCTTCAAATATGACTGACAGAACAGCCAGAGATGTAATACACTGCCTCTGTGAAAACACAAACGAAAGCATACATGACAGTGCATGCTTCAAACACAGTTCATGTAATTCCATGACTAAAAATTAGCTTCAGATTTAATTTTCTAGCAGAGTCAGAAAGGGCCCATTGTGATGTATGCTGGATAAGACAGGCCCTGTCTAGCTTTTTACCACCTTCAACATAAATGCAGGTATAAAAGGAGATTCAAACAAGGGTAATCATTTCCATCAACTCAAATTACTTGATGGAATAAATTAAATGGATTAGTTGGATGATGGTTGATGGATTTCTTGATTAGTTGATCATCTTATTATTCACGGTCTAAGGAAAAACCTTAGAATACAGTCAGAAGTATAAATACACATACTCAACACTTTACATGTATCTGAACTAATCACTGTTAGAGTTCCACCAGCCTGAAGCAGATGTTCTGTTTGCAATGGCAAGAGAACACCTTTCAGAAAGTAGGTGGCAGTTTTTCAAACACAAAACGTTTCTACTTTCACCAATTCCTAAAATAATTTGTTAGGGGCATAAAGGATAGCATATAAACAATAGAAACCTGATCAGTAGCCTTACTCTAACTAATACCACAATAGAGGAAAAAATAGTCAAACTGAGTAGCTATATGATTAATTATTGTCAAATACTTACTAGAGAGAACTGTCTTATGATTGAAAGTCTTGCTCCAAATACTATCATCTACATTGTCTTTAACTCCAAATTCATACTGTGTGTTTGGCTTCAAATTGTCAATCACAGTCTCTGTAACTGGGCAGAGCTGAAAAACCCATTTCTTGTCTTTACCCTTTTCTCTGTAGCGAACTGTATAGAACCTGGTTGAGGAAAAAAAAAAGGAAAAATCTACACAAAGAAACAACAACTATTTTTGCGAAGAATTAATAAAATAACTTTACCCACCACTGTTCCATTGTTCTTGTTCTTTCTGGCCCTTTTTGATCATCAAATGTCAGCAAAGCCAGCATATGTTTCATATATATACATCCCATCATACAGACCAGGACATTATAAGAAGGGCAAAAGAACAGTCTCCTTTTCACAAACAACCCTGTGAACGAGGTTCTAACCACAAACTGCAACCTCATTTTGCAAGCAGTTCCTGTGATTCTGAGATATGCCAGAACTAGTCAATAGAATCATGTGTCTACTACTCAACCGACTTCTCAGAATCTTCTATATCAACCCAGTGAAAGGTGTTCCCTCAAAACTAGTCCAAAACACTCTCAAGAGAATACCAGTAATAGTTGATGTTTGTATAACACATTCCTCATTCAGTGATCCCATTATGCATTGCCCACACTTCAAACAAGAAAATAAACCAAAACATTAATTTCAGCAGTTTAAGTCAGTAGTGTGATAAATGCTAACAGACTATGAAATTAAAAAACATTTCTACAGAAATTGCCCAATTCTATCAACCAGCACCACCCTGAAAAAGTATGACTGCAATGCTAACCAATATAAGAATGCAATGGAAATGGTGAGAGCTTCAGCACAAGAACTCCCCAGCCTACTATAGTCTCATTTTCAATACACATGCTGAATCACTACCAGAATATATTGGAGATTTCTGGTTTTGTAAAAACAAATCTCAGAGACACTTGGCAACTTTCTAATCCAAGTATTACCAAAGATTGTTACACATAACATAAATTACGCATATCCGTTGCCCATATCCATTTCACATTTACATCATCTGAAAAAGAATGAATTCCACCCAATTGTATTATGCCACACTTTAACAGAGCAATTTAAGGCTTGCAACTTAAGATTGTGAAATTTATTCCAGGTATTATATAGGCAAATGTATGGAGACGAAGGAAACGAACTTAAGGGAAAAAAAAAACCAAAAAAGTTCTTTAATCAACTGAAAAGGTATCAAAGGTCCAGAATAAAATTACTCGGTGGACCAAATATAATGTAGTCAATGCACAAAGCTGCCTTTGCCAAATTTACAGGAGAGCACTTTCAGAATACAGTACATGTGAAACATGTTGAACACAAGGAAATTCCTATTTCATTATTAAAACACAACAAAAGACAAGGCAAGTATGGAAAATATTTACATACACAATGATTCGCTCTGTTTATATATTTTATCTTATAACTATCAATTTTTTTCTTGGCACCAAAAATACAGATTCTCGTGTTTTAGTTGCTACAATTTAGTTCATTCAGGTACTTCACCAAGTTACAAAACCAGTATTTATATTGGCTCATGTAACTCTTCATTAGCTGCACTACTCTGTGTTCAAAGTAAGAATAGTAAAAGTTCAAAAGGAAAGGGAATATCCTCTCTCTTATGAATTCCTACTAAGGAATAATCCGCTCCTTACTTCTGTGGGCTGTGATCTATGCAAATTTCAAACAATAGATCAGTTAAGCTGGTAAAGAACATTTTTAACAAGAAACTATTGGCAACATTAAAATAAGGAAAATTTCTTCTCCTTTATCCTCTTAATCCATTCATGAGTGGTCAATCAGACATTAACAGATAGGAAAAGCTTACTTGAACTCCCTGTCAAAGGCAAAGGATATAGCAGTAATAAGCAAATCCAATCTTCAACATAAATGCATCTTCTTGAATCCTGTACACTTTTTTGGTAAGGAATTTGGAATAAGTACAGATAGATCTATGACCAAAATGTTAATCTCAAGTGGAAATAGCCACTTTCTTCCCACTGTGCCTGAAAGAAGAATTTTCATTTGTTTTCTTCTTCATCCGTACATTTTCCTACCTGTTTTAGTTCAATGGGATAGAAATAAAGTGGTTTTATGTAATGAGAAAAGAAGAGTATACTGATTCATTTCAGTTATTGAACAGTCAAAATGAATACCTGTATCAGAAATGATGAAAAAACCCACTAAAAACTTGTTCACAATGAATAGGATTTTAAGTGGCTGTTCCCACTTGCTTCTAAGGAAACAAATGTTCTATTTTTGATTGCTGTCTCCATACCTGCAAATTCCTTCACCCTAACATGAATTAAAATACCAACAACACTTGCACAACAAGAAAAAACCTTTCACTAAAATTCAAAACTACTAAAAAAACTGACAAGATTTTCAGAGTTATGACAAACTATGCCATTAGAAAGAGAAACAAATAGCACAGAAATTGTAAGTTCCATTTAACAATTTGCAAGTCACAATCATTTGACTATCAAAAATATCCAAATCGTATACAACATGCACTTTTGGGAAATGCAATCATTTGTTTATAGAGTACAAATCCAGAAATGCTAAGTTTTGTCATAAAAGAACAATCATTTATTGTTAAACCAGAGCAACAAACAGTTGAGTAAAATGCAATTTCAATGCCTGACTGAGAACATTTTACCAATTGAATTTTGTTATAATTTTAATTTCTCCCTTTTTCAAACCTTCATTTCATAAAAAATTGCACTGTCAAACACTCAACACATATAACTGAAGACATGAGAAATCAATGACATCCAGTCATCACTCGCACGTATTTATCCCCTTGTGGCAGTGACATACATGCAGAAAAGGTGTGCAGCTGGCCTGCTGCATGTGTCAGAAGCTGCAAAACTTTCTCCTGAACTGCAAACACTTAGTGAGACATCTCCATAGATGCCCCCCCATTACGACAGAAGGCAGGCTGAAACACAGCAGAGTCACTGTGACACAGAAGGGAAAGTATAGCACATGTTTCTCAGACAGAACACTTCCCATTATCTCTGTTACGTAAGAATATGAAAAGCTGATTGCATACTGCAGGGCCCTAATAGCTAATATCAAAGTAACAGTCAACATCAATAACAGCTAATATCAAAGTAACTTTGGAACAGTCCTAGGAATGCTATTCACAATTGTTAATACTAGTTAGATGTTTCAGCTGGGAGGTGGCACACTCAGTTACATGTGGTAAAAATTTATTTTATTCTGGATTCGCAGCAGGTACAAAGACCTAACAATCATAATTTAATATTTACTGTTGATTCTTTATTTGTTTTGGTGAGGGATATGAAAAGGGTACATTTTATCAGAATAATGTTTATTGAATAACTCTTGTATTTCTATTTACAACAAATGCAAATCAAAAGATCGCAGAGTTCACTTCATTTCTTTTCCAGCTAGCGTTCTATAAAACATCAGAGCTCTTTCATTAAGCTCCATAAAAATTAGTACTTATGCCTCTACCCTAACAGACAATGCTTCACTTATTAAAGGATACCTCCCATCAAGCTACCCTGGGGACTGTAGAGAAACTTTACCTCCTCTGTTTTTACTAGACAACTGCAAGCATAATGAGCTTCAGCAACTTAAAACAAAAGGTGTCATAAGCAGGTGAGGGATACTGTTCCACTCAGAATAGTTAATTCATGCAATAATGACGAAAAAAAACCCAAACCCAACAACAGTCACAAAACCAAACAACCCAAAACAAGAAATTGAACCCACTACAGTAAAGGAATAAAGAGGCTACATTTGCCAAGACTGCCTCTCTCGATATGTGTTTGTGTAGCAACATGGTATGTTTAATGTCTGCCTTCTTGAAACTCTACCTACATTAACAAGCTATATCTTTTACAATATTCTGACTTTTCTTACCTCCCCATAAGATGAACACAAAATGTGATGGCAGAAATAAAATAAGACCAATTTCGTTATTTAAAGGAAGCCACAAATTACAATAATACTCTGTAAGCCAACCACTGTCGGCAAAGCTGATACAAGACTCTCAGCCCAACACAGAAGGATGTTTCTCTTCTATGTTCAATTTACATAGTTAGTTTTTTAAAACTCTACAATGCAAGGCAGTGCTCTGCTTAGAGATAGCCTCTTGATTACACTAGAAATCAAAATACAATGAGCACTTTAAAGAAGCAGCACACAGAATTTTTGCTTTTGAAATTAAGCAGATCTTGTTTGCTGCTAAAAGAAGTAAAATTCTAAGATGGATAGACAAAACATTATTTTTTGTATCACTATCACTATGAATGACTCTATCTCACCGAGAGTTCCAGTGCTATTTTTCCAATTTTTCACCAAATCTCTTTTCAGTCAAATTCCCAGAAAACGCTCACATAGTCAAGTATTCAGGCACGAAAAATTAGATACTGGAAATCTTATAAGGCAGATGGTTTTATGAGATTTCCAGAGTAGGTCAGTTTGTATAAATATCATGGGTTTATTTGGAACCAGATCTCAACCAAAACTCCAAACAATTTAATCATGACTATTTTAGTCAAACGTAACACTAAACAAACAATTAAGCCTTGGAGATATAAGAACATTCCAGCTCTGTCATTTCATGTTGCCAGAGACAAAAATTATAAGACTCATTTTATTTTCGTGCATAGGAATGTAATCAGGCTTTTTAAAAGAAGATTAATAATAAAATATATTTATTTATTTGTTTATTGTTACAGTTCATTAGAAGCACAGTATCCATTTAGTGTTAGAAAGTAATAAAAAAAATGGTTTGAACTTTGATTTTTCAGATAGAGAGTGTTTCACAAATTGGCACACGGAGTTGATTATATTATTTTGATTATATTATTTCCCTTTTTATTGCCAAGTTTACTTTAAAGTAACAGACAGACATATATAAAAAGATGGAAAGAATTACAGTTAAGTTTGCAAAGCTTTTTCTAATTTAGTTTTCAATTTTACATGATCGCTAACATGCATTTTCTTCATGTAAATTTTTTTGTAGAATGACTGAAAGAAATTGAAGAGTGAGAACTCTGAAGAATGAGAGGCTGAAGAGTAACAAATCATTCCATGTTTAAACAAGCCTTTAGCATATGCTCCCACAGCAGTAGCTGAAAAGCATCTGAAGCTCAAGAAGTGCATTTGCTGCTGTATGTTTTCCTTAAAAATTTTTTCTAAGTTTGAAATACATTTTGTATGACACAAAGTATGATTAAGTTGGCAGCTGCATAGTGAGAGGTTTGTAAATAGGAACAGAAGGAGATAGGCACATATATTTCTGAATTTAGGGTTTTAAAAACCCCACTATGTACTATACAATGTATACTACATAGACTGAGTATGGATTTTTCTCTTGTTTTTCACTCACTATTTTCCTTTCTTTTTTTTTTAAAGCATCAGATACAAACTAAATAAAACACAGAATATGCACCACTTGCAAGTACAACATTAGGATATTTAAATCACGGGCAAACAAGTTTAAACAATGCCAGTCAGAATTTGTCAAAGTTTTTAACTTAAAAAATACTTTCAGGTTTTAAATTTCTATTTCGCATGTGTCTGAAAGCATGTTTGTTTTTCTATACAATCCACTCAATAGAATACCATATTTTACTGTATCTACACACCCTGTGTTTGTCTAACATGAAAAATAACATTTTCTATTGCTTCCCCTGACTTTCCCTCCTAAAGAACTGAAAGTTAAAGTCCATTTTTTTTGACCCCAGCTTCATTTTGGGATCTTCAGAGTTGTTCTAATCAAAGCAAATGCAAAAAAAGAAAAATCTATAGAGTAGTCTCTCTTTTTCAGACCTAAATGGGCAGTAAAAATAGCCCCAGCTCTATAGCAGCTCTGTCCACCAATGTTTGCTTGAACATAGAGAGGCAGAGAGAAAACAAGTCTCTACTCTCTCAGAAACAATAAAAAGAGGAACTGAACATGGCTGTGCAGTAGGTTATCATGAATTTCCCATCCTCCCTCGTCAATTGTCCCACACTGGTGCAAGAAAAAGGAGGATGTTGAGAAGCTAACTCCACACAGTGGAATCTTCCTGGTGTCAAGCAGGAAGTTCTATGTTCACCAGTTACATAGAACTAATCACTTGAGTTTTTTTGGTTTAGGTCTTTTTATTTGGTTTTGGTTTTTGTTCTAGTGTTAAGGTGCTGATCAGAGATAGTAGTCATTTCATAAGGTTCTGATCAGAGATAAGTGTCACTTCAATGAGGCTTCAAACTTTGACATTTCAAAGACTTTTGATCCACAAAAATGGCAGTGAATACCTTTACTTCAACAAGAAATTAGCATTTGGGGTTATCTTGAAGGAAATACACAGCACTCTGTTAGCTTATGCCCTTAATCTCTAGACAGTTAAGAAAGCAAAGAATGGTTTGTTGAAAAATGTCAGAAGAACTTTTTCTTCACTGGAGTTTCTTAAAAAGCACTTTGTAGATTCAGAAGACCACTATGTGCCTTCAAGAAGCAAGCAAAAATTTCACTGAATCAGTAAAAGATACCAATGCTCTTTTAGAGCATGGCACTTCTAATTCAAAACTCATTTGCTTACAAAACCAGATCTTCTAAGGAATATCCCACTGAGATCAGATTCGCACCAGAGAAAATCTTGGCCAGCAGATCTCTGCTATTCCATGTGGTTTTCATCTTCTGAGTCAGCAACATGTTCAAATAACTTATATTATGCAACATTTGTACAAAAGCCTAATGTCCACCCAGGGGTGGTAAAATCTGAGGCCAAGAACAGCGATTCCGTTTCAAGACACACAGTTACGAATCTAAAACATGGTGGGATATTTACTGACAGAATTGAGTTAGGAGGTCCTAACTGCCATGTAATGCCAATGTCAAAGATTAGAGGTTAGTCACTTACAGCAATTTTGAGAATGATTAACAGTACACAGTAACATGTCACAGTAAGGAGAACACACCAGATGAAAAAGGATCAAGTAAGTGAGTAGAATTCCCCTGCAATAGACAGAAATGGTGATGAATTCATTAACTGCTTTTTAAGTCTTGTACTTTTAACATGATGCTAACTTGTTAAGAGTGGGCTACTTCCTATTTTTTTCTTATCGTACATTAGCAATTGCCATTCAAATTATTATCCTAAATTAACAGTTTTTCTTCTATACACTGACTAGAAATATATATGGATCTAATCTCTCTTGGAATTACAGATATACACACCATGGTCACGTGGAAAACTGTTAACCTCATCTATACAAAATCACAAGCAGTTTGGTCCAGTAAAGGTAAACAAAATAAGAGAACCACTTAAGTGACTTTTTTTTCTTAATTAAATTTATTACTCTGATTGCTAAATAGGTATAAACCCATACTTTGACATGATTTCTGTGTTTTTAAACTAGCTACTCCTGAGGGTCAGTGAATCTTTAGAGCTGAAATACAGGGAGATAATCAAACAAAATGAATGATACAACTCTTATAACCAAGTCATTTTATGCAGACAAAAGGGAAGTACAGAGACAGCACTTTTGTACAGTCTGACAATATTTCAACAAAATGAAGGGTACATTAAAAGTATTTTCTGAGAGGAATTATTTGACCAAATTAAACAACACTTAACTAAAAACAGCATACCATGACTTGACACAAAGACACGACAAAAACAACTGTCTTAGACTATAGTAGCAAACATACAGAATGTATTCTAAACATAACAAGACACCAGCAGCACACTGGGCTAACTGAAAAACGTTCCATACTGTGTTAAAGAATTTGTTCAAACTTTGAGTCAATGAATGTCCAACAAGAAAATTCAGCTACTGAGGAGAAAACCCAAAGCTGATGAAGCATTGTGGTGGATACCATATGCCTTGAATTTCCAGGTGGATTAGTACAGGATATAGGCTTCTTCTAAGTGTTCTTCCTTCCCACTGCACAATGGGTGCTGTAACTTTGGTGATGACACAGCACATAAAGAAGATAAGTTCCCTGGTAAAATTCGTGCTAAAATCATTATGTGCACAAAATACTTTAGAGGCTCCTCCAGCTCATTTCCTTGATTGCTTACAGGAGGAAAATATTTGCTTCTTTCTTGAATTGAAAGAGCAAAATTTAAGCCTGAGCCAACTTTTACTTCTACTGAAAAAAAGTCCAATCAAATTACATTTTTGGAAATTTCCTAATAAACATTAACATTGTTTTCTTCAAAAGTGTTTGAAATTCTGGCTGGTGAGAAAGATCTCAATTTGTTCAGGAGAAATTTTTGAAGGTTGAAAACGTTTAGTCCAAAACTTTTGAGAGTTAAGAAAAAGGTCATATTGGTAACATGGGATTTTTTTTTGACATAATGTATGTTTGACATGCAGTCTAATGGCATCAATGGGAGTTCTATTACGAACACCAAAGATTCAAGTCTAAATTAGACAGCACCTAGACAAACATTAGGCAGGGAAAAAAATGTTCTGAATAATGAAAAAAATGCATGGTTTTACATGGTTTAACAAAGGCATGGTTTTAGAAAACACTGCTGAGTCAAATGGAGCTTCACACAATGTAAATGAAGGTAAAAAAAAATTATTCTGTCATAAAAGGAAGAATACAAAGAGAACACCAAAATGACAAAGCAGGGAAAACATCTGTATTAACAATTTAAATAATTGCAAAGATGAATTTTATTAATCTGCCAAGAGTTGCCTAAAATGCACGAGTACACTTTAATGAGAAGCTCCCCAGCACTATGACTTCTCTTGAAACTGCTACTTGATGAGCCTTCGTGAGCTCTCCACCTACTGTAACACCCATTAAATAATTGCAGCACACCAAATATGTTACAGTAGATGAGATCTTATTTTACTTACAACAGAAAATTAATGAAAGCTGTATTATACCAAGATCGGAAAAGTTGTTTCAGTGATAACATCAGATACAGGAAATAAAAATCAAACACCATTAAGACAAGGCATCATTCCCTTATCACAGCACAACAAAAGAATTCTTTTACTTTTATTCAGCCAACTTTAAAAAAAAAATTCCTATGATTTAACAAAGTTTCTTTCAACTGGTTAAGGTACAACTGAAGGTAGAGTCAAGGCAATTGGTTTAAGAACAAAGGATGTACTGTGAAATAGCAAGATTTTTACTTCAGCATGTAGATTTCTGATTAAATTTTCACTCAAGATAAAGACTTTCAAAGCATCAAATGAATAAGTGAGAAAACTTACTTCACATTCAGAACTATTGTTCCCAACATTTTTGTTTCCACTTTAAAACTTATTTTAGGCACAGCAGAGAGCTACGCTGACTTAAATCAAGAGAGTAATAAAAAAAAAGGTTTTTCTCTTATGTTACCTGTCACTAGCACAGTTACTTGTTGCTGTCCAGTCATGTTGAGGGTTGACTAGGATGCCCCAAGAGAGAAACACAGAGGTTGGGGTGAGAGTGCCAACTACCAGCTGCAGAGGCTTTTGTGTCTTGGTCCGACCTACATACGAAATATATAAAATTAGCTTCTCTCTCCTGCAGTTGGATAGTAAAGTAAATGAAGGCCTATTTCACTTCTAAGCTTGAAGGGAAAGGTGCAACAGTTCTTTTTTTTTTTCACAGCCACCATTTCTAATGTGTGATTTACAAAAGGGGCAGAGACAGTGTCTGATCTCTTTTTTCAGCCTAATATTCCCGTTAAATCTAGTTTTTGAAAACGAACAATTGGTGATTTGGGTATACTTAGTACAAGAATAAGCTATACGTAGATTAAATTCAAGGCTCTGGTTGTCTTGGTCCATATCACAGAAGGTATGACACAGAGTTCAGGATATCAGGAAGTCTCTCTTTGGATGTGACAGAAATAGTAACTTCTGAGCAGATTTCTTACTAACACTGCAAATAGGTCCATAGATAATCGATACTTTCCGCAGTGTTTTTCATCAAGAGTAATATAAAACCTACAAAAGTTCTTCTGCCTTTTACTGTAGGTAAAATCAGAGTCAGCATCTGCATCTGGGGAATTTTTCTGTTTTAACTATCTACTATATTGAAAATGTACAGCTTTTTTATGATCCTTCACTTTAGTTTTGCTCTGAATTAAGGAGCAAAACTCTTGTGTAGAGGACGAACTTTATTTAAAGGAAGTTTAAAAGCTAAAAGGTGGAAATGAACAAATGATCTAGAGAAACTATTCTGAATCTGTGGTTTATAGACTGTTATAAACCTAAGGAGAACCTCTGGTGCTTGGAAGATGATTAATTAAGGGAAATTGATATATTATTTGCATCACATTACGTACTTCAAAAATCTAAAGGATCTGAACCTCCTCAAAATGTACAGGTGACAACACATTCCCTGAAAGTTTGTAAGCCACTGATCTAATGGTGCTATTTCTCACTGTTGTGAAACAGATCCAATTAACTTTCTTCTCATGCCTTTTGAATCCTGTTATGAGGGTAGACTGTAGATATAAAAATTAATTATGACCAAATAGTGCATTGGGCATTTTTTTGTTTTTGTGGTTTTTGATATATATATATGTATATGTATGTTGCATCTGAAAGGTAAATCACTTTCCAAAATCTTTCCAGACAAACTGTTTTAGGTCTGCACAAAACCAAGTTGAAATTAATCCCAAGCAGTTAGCAGGAACTAGAAAAACAATCATATAAAGATCTGAGAATATGGGTTGGAAGTGACCTTTAAAGGCCCTTTTGAAAAGGTCCTTTTAAAAGTCCAAGCCACCTGCAATGAGCAGGGACATCTACAACTGGATCAAATTTCTCACAGCCTGACCTTGAGTGTTTCCAGGGATGGGGCATCAGTTTATTTTTTGCAACAGTCCAGTGATCCTGAGAGTCATCTCCATATTAAAGTTACATAAAAGATTCTGTCTTCTTTCAAATACTTCAAGAAAAAGATGCAGTAATTCTAAATTACCTGAACAAGATTTCTTGTTTGAAACACGTGCTGGTCTTACTGAAACCAAATACCGTGGTTCTGCATCTGTAAATGAAGACAAATGCAATTAGTACAGATGTACTATTTATTTGGAACAGGGATTAATATATTAACCTATAATTAACAAGAAAAAGTCAAATATTCAGTGAATGCTTGACACATTATCCAATCTTTGTGATCTTTAGGCATGTTTTCATTAAGATCTATGGAGTTTAAAATAATAAATGATTTGATTAAAACAATTTTGAGATGGTGAATTTAATTTGGGAAATTCCACTTCAGAAATAAGATTTTCCCTTAAAATCAGATGTCAGAGATTTCTGCCCTTCTTAACTACTTAAAGCCAAGCTCTATTCTCATCGAACTGCAACATGAAAGAAGTCCTTATAGGATCTTCCAGTGAGATATCCATGGGCAGAATTTGGCTCACCATATACCAATCAAAATTTTAGTCACTATAGTTTTTATAAAAAAGCATTAATCTATATAAAATTCTTATTCTACTTTAGATACATTTATCTAGATCTGTATCTATAGATGACAGACTGAATTTCCTGAATATTTCAGTGTAACCGACTGCTTGAATTCTACCAATTAAACAGAACCACTAAGAAATCATTCAATTTTCTCTTACACCCAGATTTCTGTAAAGAGAAAGAAAAGCAGTACTGAAAAAACCAGAAGCTTTCTGTGCTACTGAAAAGCCTGTGTGGGTAAAAACACTCTAACTTCACTGATTCTATGCATCTAAATCACTGGAAGCCCATACTATGGGTGAATTTTAATTGTTTAATTACCATTTTTTAGTGGTTTCAACCACACCCAGTAACGAAGATGAGCATTGAAAACAGTTGCTCCAGGCAGTGTGGAGAAAAGAATTAGTCAAAAAAAGCGCATTGCCAAAGTAAAAATACATCTTCATCTACAGAAAAATCTTCTGAAATCTGTGTAATAATACCTTTTGTATTGAGACCTAAAACTTGAAATAAGTGACATTTTAAAATATTTTGATTTCCCTGCACTTTAATCCCAGTTTCCTCCTGTGCATTGATGACCACTTGTGACGCTGTTAAGACTCTCACAAATATTCAACAAAATTAGTTTCAAGTATCACCTTGAGAGCTTGTGAACTACAAAGTCAGTCTTCAAAGCTGTAAAAAATTACAGTTTTTTCAGCAAAATTTCCAAAAATTGTGAAAGAAAGTTATCCAAATGGTTTGGAACAGTTAATTTTGCTCTGCTCCATAACTGGAAAAATTAATTCTGGCTGAAATCTGATATGACCTGTGTAGTAACATTGATATAGATTAACGGCTAAACAAAATGTGGTAATAAACAATGACTGAAAATGTCTTTCTGTACATCTCAAAGATACAAAACCTGGAATTTTTTGGGAATCATTAGTTCTAACAGGTGTTTTTGTTCTGTAACAAAGTGCTCTCTGTGGAAATGTTTTGTGTTATGTGCTGCTCATTAAGTGCTTTTTTTTGGTGGATTTAACAAATGTTGTCTTGATAAAAAATAAAACATATCCCTATTTCATAGACAAATAGCTCTTCTGACTGTAATACCATCTATAAAAGGAAGTGTTTAGGAAAATGGACTAAGACTAGATGTTGAGAGAGTGCTGCTGTAGAACAGGTAGGTTTCAAAAGTACCACTTGTCCAGTTTAGAACCACTGAATTTAAGACAATATTGTGATCATAATAACTGAAATCAGAATTTGAAATTATTAAACGAGTACATTCAATAACTGGGATGCAACACTAAATTTCTCTTCTGATCTTAACTAAAAGCATATCTTAATTTAGAAATATGATTCAGTGATTCCTGAGTAGAACCACACACATTGCCAGATAGATGCTAAGAGTACAGCAACTATAGTTTAAGTTAAATTCATTGGTCTGATGCACAGTATTAAACCATTATGCATGGACTGGAGAACACGTGCCTTGAAGTGCTTTTATTCTAGGCAAATATATGTTCTATATCCAAGACATCTGAAATCAAGAAATGTAAACACTTTCTTTAACATCATGTAATGAGCCCTGATTCAGGTTTAGCAATGGGAGTTCTTTCTTAGTCTTCCACTGTAATTTAACATTTCTTTTAATAACTTCAGAGGTTTCACACTGATTCAGTCCTCTTGCTGAGAAATATATGTGTCAGTTGTCATCACAACCTGGAAATCATCTGATGCTACTATGACTCAATTAATTTTCAGGGCCTTAAAACATTGCCTCACCCATATATTAAACTCTATCAAGCTGCAAGAACTATTTTATAATAATTTGTGTTCTTTTATGATGTCTATATACACATAATCCACTCTACAGATTCATGTCTATAAGAAGGAAGAATCTTGGGGAGAAGTGAGCAAGACATGAAAAGAAAAAGAAAATGCTGTGAAATACCAAAACCTAAATAAAACCATAATTTAGTTTGTACTAGTTCATTTTAATGCTTAAGAGATAAATTGCTGAAATAAGAGGTAGGTAGCAAAACGTAGCAAAATATCTGGACACAAATGCACAAATCCAACATCTGCCTCCAGAAATCATTTCAACATTAATCAGTATACAACAGAGACATATATGACACAGATGCAAGATACAGATCTGTCTGTCTCTCATCCAGAGCCTCACAAATGAAGGATCCCTACAGAACAATGAAAACTTTAACAAGTTCAGCTTGAAATACATTTACAAATTTGCTATGAAATCTTAGCGGCTCCTTGATTCCTAACACATTCTTAGGCTGTTACGATAAGACTAACTTAATAAGTTTACTTTTTTGAACCTAGTATTCTCTGGCCCCTTTATTAAAGCTATAATGACAAATATCTTTGGCTAAGAGTTCCTTTTAGATCAGAAATAATATCTAAAAAGTGACCACCTTCAATTCTTCAGCCACAAAGGACTATAGGAAAATGCCTGAATGTACCAGGGAAGTGCTGGCCTAATTCTTAGTGATATAATTCCCCAAACATGGGCTGTTTTGACCATTCAGTTCAGAGGCACCAATACATCAGTAAAACTGCTCTTTCAAGTTTAAACGTCCACAGCAGAACAAAGCAATGCCAGTTTGAAACAAAGCACAGCACTCTGGCAGGCACAAACACCTAACCTAATGATTTCTGAAGCAGAAGGGAAGAATAGTCACACATCAGTATTTGTAAAGCAATAGCATTTGTATCTACAGCATTCAATACACACAGTAGAGACATGCATATATGTTCAGTACATATTCTTACAGCTTTTCCTCTCAGTTCTCAAAAGTATTAGACAGAAACATTCAGTCATCCTGTTTTAGCTTTTAAACATCAAGACTACTACAGCTTGATGAACTATCACCAGTTAGATGAAATAGTTTTCCTAACTCCTTCAGTTTCTCAGGTTTCTTTTCATCCAGACAGTCTAAAAGACACGCACAACACAGGTACGCCCACAATTTCCCACAGAAGAAATATTTCAAAGACTGCAAAGTTTCACAAAAGCAAACCAGTACCTTGGTGTCATTGTAAAAGAAAAAACTGACTGAGATTCAATTATATTAATGAATAAAATTACTAAAAGAAAAAAGCTTTTATTATCCACCTTAACAGCTTATGAAGACAACCATAATTTCACAAAAATACATACCACTTATGAAATCAGACTTGTATAGGAGAACACTTACTTCCATGTGCCATGAGCTAGGCTATCAAATCAGTGGCAGCAGGCATTTAACATGCACTACAAAATGCTAGCAAATTTTGGTTTTGTTCAAGCATACTATTCAGTTCAGGGTTCTGCCAATACAGAAATGCAGTTGGAAGCAAAACAACATAAGAATGAACTGGCTGATGAACTCAGAATAAATTTTAAAATAAAATGTGACAAACATATCACTAGAATTCATAGGCCAGTGAATTCAGAGATCAAAAAAAAGTATTTTTTACCTTCAGGCTGCAATTCCTTAATTTGCATTTAGGGATTGCTAAAGATTTACTGCAGGATGTTGTTAAAGGCAAAGGCCAAAGGTGGAGAAAGGGGAGGATTGAAAGTATTGCAGTGTATCACGTATGGGAAAAGACAGAGAAGTGGGACAAAGAGGCTGGCATGAATGAACCTGCTCCTAGTCAATCCACTTGTTTAGATGCAGGGGCAGCTGTTGACCTCCTCCAGATCCTCCATTCCACTAGGGTCAACTAACATTAACAATGAGAATCTGTTTTTTTAGGAAGTTGTCAGAAAGCAACATAATGCTGAATTAATTTTCACATGATTTGGCATCTTGGAAAGCATGTAGCTAATACATCTGCACTTTTCTGGTAATTGGTCAGATACAAAAAACTGCACACTAAGATCTTTCAGCTAAGGACTACTCTAATGCAGATCCCTGAATTATATTTTTTAAAATATATTCAAAGGGGTACTAGAATTTTGCCCTATGTACATATAGGCAAAATTCACATGCCACTTATTATGGTTGTTATAAAGCAGAATTACCAGTACATTCTCCTCTTACACTGTAAAATCTTGTTTAAAAAAGCAAAAGCACTGCCCAACCCTAAGTTGATTTTAGAAACTGAAAGGGAAACTGATTTTGCTCACTCTGTTAAGTAATTACTGTTCATTCTTTCAAAATTTCACTGTCTCCACCCAATTTTTGGGTTACTTCAACAGTATCAGTTATCTCTAGAAGACTGGCTTGCAGCCTTCCTAGCCAAGCTAGAACAAACTAACACAAATTTCTCAGGTGACTCTGAGCTTTCTGTTTTCAGTTTCGTAAAACATTCAGTATTAGAGCTGCTGTTAAATAGCCGGTGCTCATGATGCTACATTCAGTCCTTTTTCCTCTTTCCAAAGATCTCAGAGTACTTGAAAAATATTAATCCTCACTACTCCTGCCATATGGTTACACAGGTACTATTATGCCTAATACATACATATATGTATATATATGTGCATATATATATGTGTGTGTATATATATATATATATATATTTCCATACACTACAGAAAATCCTATACATCATTCTTAGTGAACTGATTCAAAAGCTACATGTGGGATAAATCAGATAAGACAGACACAGCTTAAGTGATGGTTATGAAGTCAAACGCTGGACTGACGATAGAATTACAGAGAGATTCCAGGAGTAACAACTCATGAAAAGGAAAGTCAAAGTATCTAATAACTTAATTATTCTGTGTCTAGCATCTTATTTTTTTCATATTTTATTCTGCAGTTTTCAGCCTGGAGCAGACACCTTCAATGGCCTTAACTGACCTCATCAAAAAGATGGCAATTATTACTTCCGTGCTTATGTGTCCTTATTTCTCCTTTGTTTGACCCCAAATCACCAGCATTACAATGATGGGAGTAACCCAGATTCATTTCAGGCTAGAAAAGCTTAGAGAAAGCAACAGGAAAACCCTTAGAGATTAAACAGATTTCTCAAAAGGTCAAATCCTGGTATGTCAATTTCTTAATTATTTATTCTTTCTCCCTGTTCCAGGCAACAGAATATAAGGCTCTTGACATGGTTTAATCTCTTCCATGAAGCAACTCATGGAATTCCATCAGTAACTTCTGACATTGAAGTTACAGGTTATTCTATAACATGTAGAACTGGAGTAGATCCCTACCAGAAAAGACATAATTTTGATACAAATGTTTCTATCAAAGGGAATCAACCACGCAGTTCTCAAGACTGTTTCACTACTTCTTCCATTATTTGTTAAAAACTTGCATATCTCCCTTGTATTCTACTTTGAAACTACAACTTTAGGCAAACCATCCCATTTGATCTGTGATGTGGTCAATATAGTACAGTCTCTTAGTACAACGAAAATCCTCAAAATAAATACCATTAGCAAAGTTTTCCAAACAACAAAAAATATTTTTTCTCCTTGAAGGATCTATTTTCACCTGAAATTCTTCAAGGCAACCTTAAACAAACACAAAGAAACCTGAGCAACAACCCAATAAATCCAAAATTTAGGAAACCCAAAAGTTCATATTACTCTCACTCTTCCTATAATTCATGCGTAGGTCCCATAAAGCATGTAAAGCAAATATGTCTTACCAAGTTCTGTTACATAGTTTTTTCCTTCTGAAGGTAAAGGAATGTACTGATTAGAAAAGAAGTTGCTTCCATAACCCAGGACAAAACCTTCTAGTTTGGTGTTTTGACTTGGTCGGAGATATCTCATGCAAACGGTGTCATCTGTTGCATTGATCTGAACCTTCAGACTCTGCCTTTTCACTGGGGAAAGAGTGAAAAAGAGGAGATCAAAATGTGTTATCTGCAATCATATATTCAGTAATGGAATATGACAATATAACAATATAAGGTTGTTTCATTTGCTAGTAGCAAGCAATCGAACAATTTCTTAAAGGTGAAGTCTCCTAGAAACCCAGTGTATTTAAAAAAGTAAACTATCAGTCATGGAAAATTGTATTTGCTAACATGACTGTTTTCCCACTAGTTTAGCATTATCATTAGCTGTAACATCTACAATTGCAGTAGTAAAAAAGTGCATGAAGTAACTGGTAAAAATGTAAGCATTTTTTCCTTTAAATGAGAGAGTATAGTAGCATCAGCCATCTATAGAACCCATTGGTGAAAAATTACAAGTTTTTCTTTTTTTTTGTTTTGTTTTTAGTAGAGAATACGAAGTTTTAACATTAAGTTAATCAGTTAATCACACTGTAGAATTAGGGTAGAGGATAAATAGTAACTAGATTCAAAAAAAACTGCTACAACTTTTTTTTTTTTTGGTTATGTTGGGCTGGAAATGTCATTTTCTATTTGGAATTACACCAGGACACCTAACTAACATATACGCTTTACTCAAAATTACAAAGACACTTGTTTTAAACATTCAATTTTATTCTTTCCAAGGGAACAGCACACAGCACATAAAGTGCAAAAAATTTGACTTGTAGCAACATGGAATGACTTCACAACAGAATAACTATCTTTTTCAGCTATAAGTTGGTGTTTTGTCTTCTTCTTGGTGTGGTGAGGCACGATTGGCTTTTCTTTCCTCGGTACGTACAATTTTAGTATTCCCTTGTCACTGTTAGGCCTATCATATTTCCAGAACTGTTGAATTGTTGGCTTTTCCCCAAACTTATGACACCAGCACTAGACTAGTACACTTTGGGTTATTATTTCTCTTCTCATTCCCAAAATGTAGATTTTTAATCCCGACAGATTTTCAGGCATCTGTCCAGTCATAAGGGCTGAAATTAACTTATCAGAAAAAACCAGAACTTTGCACACAATCATTTTACTTCAGGAGCTAAATCCTGAAGTAATGTTAGATATGAGATATATGATATATTATGGGATGACAGGGTAGAGCAATCCTAAACTGTTTCTTTCTTTTTCTTTCTCTTTCTTTCTTTCTCCTTCCTTCTTTCTTTCTCTCTTTCTTTCCTTTTCTCCCTCTTTTTTCTTTTTCTTTCTTTCTTTCCTTTCTTTCTTTTCTTTTTCTCTCCTTTCTTTTTTTTCTTTCCCTTCCTCCCTTCCTCCATCTAACTCCCTTCCTTTCTTACTTTTACTCTCTCTCAGTAATTGCAGACTGATATTCAAAGTTTCTCTAAACAAGTATATACATCACCCCATCCCACCATCCTTTAATTTTTAGAGAAATTTTAATGACTAGAGTTGCCAAGAGGCCAAAATCCTCAATTTGTGAAGATGATTTAGTAGGTGATTTGAGCATCTGCAGTTGTCTGCATGCAGAATGTAAAGCCTTAAGCCAAACACTTTATGCCTCTTCCCTTTATAGAAAGAAGCATACAAGTAAAACTGATGGAAAACATGTGCCTCCCTTCCTTTATCTAAAGACTCATCAAATAAAAGCATTCAGCCAGGAAACCATCACAATTTTCCAAAGGCAACTCTGCCAGGTTCCAGAAGACTGCAAGGCCTCTAGAAAACTTGGTTCTGTGACATTTTCAGCTGTACAATACCACCACAGGGAAAAGAGTGGCAGTTGCTTCCTTATCTAAATGACATCCTAACTTGTTTTATTTTCAGTACACAAAACTGCTGCGGGTGTGCAAGTCTGAATATTGACAAAGCTCCAAAAAGCAGCAATGAGGAAGAAAAGCCAACAGACTTCAAACTCCTCTAATGAGCTTCATAAAGACACTTAGTAAGAAGTGGCAACATAGTTTAGGATTATTACCTCTGACTGACAGTAAGCTATATGTGTTTTAATTTATGTAGTCTGCAAAACTCTAACTTTGGAGATCTAAGCATAAAAGAAAGGATGGCCTCCTGGTCTCTACCAAGTATTCATATCTAAGAACAAAGTAAGACTTACAGTACTTGATTAAAATATGGTAATTTGATTACTGTATTAAAGTTCTTAATCAGTCTTGAAATTATATTTAAAAAAAATTAGTAAAGATCTATTTTAATTATAAATTTACAGTAGTTTCAACTCTCTTTTTTTTACACACAGTTATATCTATGTATCTCTCAGTTATACTTTACATCAATTCGAAGACCTAATTCTAATTTAAGATTGAATTCAACTGGGTTTGATTTCAGTTTGATAAATACCATGGTTTATTCATAAACAGTCAATTATAGTGACGAGTGGTCTTGGTTTGATTTAAGCCTTAGAACTCTCAGTGAGGTTTCTAAAACTAGAAAGTCTAAATGGGATCCCAAAACAGCAATAGCTTTGAGATAGGATCCTTTAGATCTTTTCTGTATAGCTAGCATATCAAAACCACCAAGAGAGCTTTTAAACTTGAGCCAGTTCTAGCAGAAAATAAACAGGAATAATGTATTTTGAAAAACAGAGAATAAGGTAGAATAGAATGAAAGGAGATGAACTTAAAATTTAAAAAAAATAAATCTTTGTTCTCACCACCCTGTCTTGACAGGGCAGGTCCTTTTCCCTTAGTTCACTTTTAAGGGCAGGATCCTTTCGGTGATGGCCTGGATAGCAACACACACTGCAGAGTCCCCATAGCAGTTAGGAAAAAATCACTTAATCATAAAATCACATGGATTGGAAAAGACCTTTAAGATTGAGTCCAACCCAAACCTAGCGCTTTCAAGTCCACCACTAAACCAGATCCCCAGGTGCCATATCTATATGCCTTTTAATACCCCCATGGATGGTGACTCAACCCCTTTCCTGGGCAGTCTATTCCAATGACTGGTAACCCTTTTGGTGAAGATATTTTTCCTAACATCCAATTTAAACCTCCCCTGGCACAACTTGAGTCCATTTCACTTTGTCCTATCACTTGTTACTTGGGAGAAGAGACAGACCACTGCCTCACTACATGCTCCTTTCCAGTAATTGCAGAGAGCAAAAAGGTTTGCCCTGAGCCTCCTTTTTTCCAGGCTAAACAATTCCAGTTTCCTTAGCCTCTCCTCATGAAACTTGTGCTCCAGACCCTTCACCAGCTTTGTGGTCTTTCTCTTGACACACTCCAGCATCTCTATGTCTTTCTTGCAGTGAGGGGCTCAAAACTTAACACAGGATTTGAAGTGTAGCCTCACTGGTGCTGAGTACAGGGGAATGATCACTTCATTGGAACTGCTGACCACAAAATTTCTGATCCAAGCCAGGATGTCATTGGCCTTCTTGGCCACCTGGGGACAGCTCATGTCCAGTAGGCTGTTGACCAGCATCCCCAGGTCCTTTTCCACCAGGCAGTTTTGTGTTGCTATGACTCAAGTGCAGGGCACAGCATTTGGCCTTGATGAAGGTAGACAACTTCCACAGCCTTTCCTTCATCCAGGAATTGAGTCACCTTGTCATAAGAGGAGATGAGGTTAATCAAGCAGGACCTGACCTTCGCAAACCCTTGTTGACTGGGCCGAAAACCCTGATTGTCCTGTACATGCTGTGTGATGGCACACAAGATAATCTGCTCCATGACCTTCCCCTGCCCAGCAGGTCAGTCCCGTAGTTCCCCAGATTCTCCTTCCAGCCCTTCTTGTAGATGGGCATCACATTTGCTAACTTCCAGTCAACTGAGATCTCCCCAGTTTGTCAGGATTGCTGGTAAAGGACTGAAAGTGGCTCAGTGAGTACCCCTGCCAGCTCCCTCAGCACCCTTGGATAGATCCCACCCAGCCCCATAGACTTGTGCATGTCTAAGTGGTGTAACATGTCACTAACCATTTCCCCTTGGTTTAGGGGAGCTTCATTATGTTCCCCATTCCTGACTTCCAGCTTAGGGAACTGCATACCCCAAGAACTATGAAAAAGCAAGGCAAAGAAGGCCCTGAGTACTTTAGCCTTTTCCTCAGCCACTGTCACTCTGTTTCCCCCTGCATGCAGTAAAGAATGAAGATAATATTTCTTTTCCTCCTCGGAGATCTAGATACAGAGTCTGCTCCATGCTTTTCTTAACTATCTTCTACCCCTTCTGTAAGCTCCTTGCTTACTATTTCTTCCCTCCTCACAGTAGAAGTCCCCCTAGCAGGGAGGGCCCAGTTGATCTCAGCAAGAGCACTCTTCTCCCCTTCTTCTTGATGGCCTGGCCCAAAGAGCAGTAAAGAGCAAGGCAGACAAAATTTCTTCACTTTTATTTAGCTGCATGTTTTTAAGGGAAAATAACTGTGCTAAAGCAAAAATACAGATACCACACTTCGTATGACTAAACCACATTCCTGTTCATGGGCTGTGTGGATTCCAGAATCAGTGAAAACAAGGGATGAATTTGCAAACGGTAAAACAATAACTGGCCAGTTTCTGGAAGTGTATGAACAGAAGTGAAGCAACCTAGAGCAGGGAGAGCTCAATCCTACATGCTGCACAGACACTGCCAGTCTAGTCAAGAGAGGGCCAGCCAGAAGCAGTACAGATATAAAGGACTTCATATCAATTAACTTGGTAAATGGAGACTGCTCTCAGGAACATATCAGCAAAATAGATTTCACTTGCGTTGATCTCACAGCATTTGGAACAACTAACAGGAAAAGCATTCTCCTTCTGAGTAATATGTCTGTCTTAGCCACCACTCAGATAAACATCTATTAAATATGATTGAATAGACAAAGGAAGTCACAGGAACTTGAAAGTTATGATACTATGATAAGAATGTCTTTGATTTTGAGAAAATAACTTTGTCATATTATGATATCAGAATACCTTTTTTCCCCACATCTTCTTGATGAAAGAGTTGAATGATAAACTAGATACCTTCTAATTCTATTCATTTGTATCAGCTTTTGGCATATGTTATTGAAACTCTGGTCTTAAATACTTGCATTTGTAG